TTCTATTCCTAACAAGACTGTCTTTCTATTTCTAACAAGACTGTCTTTCTATTCCTAACTAGACTGTCTTTCTATTCCTAACTAGACTGTCTTTCTATTCCTAACAAGACTGTCTTTCTATTCCTAACAAGACTGTCTTTCTATTCCTAACAAGACTGTCTTTCTATTCCTAACAAGACTGTCTTTCTATTCCTAACAAGACTGTCTTTCTATTCCTAACAAGACTGTCTTTCTATTCCTAACAAGACTGTCTTTCTATTCCTAACAAGACTGTCTTTCTATTCCTAACTAGACTGTCTTTCTATTCCTAACTAGACTGTCTTTCTATTCCTAACAAGACTGTCTTTCTATTCCTAACAAGACTGTCTTTCTATTCCTAACAAGACTGTCTTTCTATTCCTAACAAGACTGTCTTTCTATTCCTAACAAGACTGTCTTTCTATTCCTAACAAGACTGTCTTTCTGTTCCTACTTAGACTGTCTTTTTGTTTGTAGCTATTTGGATTTGGATAACTCTGCTTCCTACTCTGATATTGAATTCTGAAAGTAAGGATAAACCCTTAACTAAGAGAGATTACATCGGTTGGAGTATGTTTGTCATTGGGTTTTTCCTGGAAGCTGTTGCTGATCACCAGAAATCTGTTTTCCGTGCCAATCCAGAAAATGCAGTAGGTCCAAATTACATAATGATATTCCTAACATACATTGTTGTAGTGTTGCTGAAAACTTTTTCATAGTTTTAAATCAAAATGTAAAATCCATGAGTTGCTTTATTTGCTAATTCAAATTATTTGTTAGATCATGTGATATATAGAATGATAACCGAAAATGACTTTTTGTCACTTTCCATGTATTCATCTTTTCACAATGCAGGATACCTGGATAAATACTGGTCTGTGGAGTATAAGTCGTCATCCAAACTACTTTGGAGAGATTCTATTGTGGTTTGGATTATATGTGAGTGCTTCATCTGTGTATAATCACAATTATCAGTATCTTACCATTGTATCACCACTGTTTGTGACATATCTCCTGACACAGGTCTCAGGCGTGCCACTGTTAGAGAAGATAGGTCAACATAGATGGGGACAGAATGCACAATATCAGAGATATGTAAAGAATACAGCAGTTTTGATACCGTTCATTTGGTGAACTCGTGGTCGCAAAATTAATTTGTGAAGAACAGTCTTGGTCAAACTTGTTTTTGTCATATTGATTCTATTTTTGTTCATTTTAGTGGCAATATGTCTGATAGCAACAGAAGTTCATAGCTTTACAAAATACAAAACAGCTGTTTCTGAATTGTTACAGAAAGATTTATTAAAATTGTTTCTATGGTATTTGAAGAACTGATAAGAAATTTAAATTCTCTTGACTGCCTCAGATAAACTTTTTATGAATTTAGTAGATCAAGATTGTGCATTTTGTTTTGGTCTTTAATGCCAGTATTTAGAACACTGAAATTGGACAGTACATTGTGTTATGGTCTTTAATGCCAGTATTTAGAACACTGAAATTGGACAGTACATTGTGTTATGGTCTTTAATGCCAGTATTTAGAACACTGAAATTGGACAGAACATTGTGTTATGGTCTTTAATGCCAGTATTTAGAACACTGAAATTGGACAGTACATTGTGTTATAATTGGTGTACACCAATTTCAACCTTAAACTATTCACGTCTGTGGATTTGGAGTGTCCCAGAGCACCGATTACAAGTATATCTGTGAAGTAATCAGAGAGATATCAGTGGCTAAATATTATGCACATTAGATATATTTTGTGTGCAGCCTCTGACGTGTGAAGTAATATATGCCATATACCAACTGTACAACAATTATGGTTTTCACAATATATCTGGATCAGAAGTTGTTAGCAAGCAGCCAAACATATACAAGATGGATACTTAGGGTTGTGCCAAATTATTAGTAATTCCAATGAATACTATTTATTAGACTGGCAAAGTCGGGACTTCTTTTTTGTTTTACAAAAAGAAATAATTAATTGTTCTTTTAGTCCTTTTAGCGTGATCACAAAAACTAACTGGATCACTAAAGAAATCCTGACTGGACGCATCTGCAAGCATTTGACTGCTATTAATTATTCATGATGTCATTGATTATTCATGAGTGGGTGTGTGAAAGTAAAGGTTGATTCAAATCGATCGCGGAGATGGATACTTTAACTTTCTAAGTGCGAAAACGATACTTTCATCCATGTTTACTGAAAACAACAAATGTTCAATGTATATAAGTCTTTCAAAATCAAGAAGTGAATGCGAGTCAACAGCTTTTAATTATCATAATCACTGGAGAGATTCCGCCCGGATTTTCACTCCAACGCAGGAGGTTGCCTGCAGATGCATCCAGTCGGAATTTCTTTTGCAGTCACGCTAGTTTTCGTGATCACATTAAAAAGGCTAAATTGACAATTAATTATATTTTTTTGTAAAAGAGATCCGACTTTGCCAGTATAACTATTTATTTGTTTATAACATAATGCTCTTGCATGAATTCAAATAGAAATACATGTAGTTCCAAAAAGGCCATTTTTTTTAATGTTCTTCAGTTTTCCACCAACAAAATGATATTTCATACTGGATGAAAAATCCTCAACAGTGATAAAAAATCATGTGATACAAACAAACATTATAATTTTTGCCACTGCCTGTTACCTGTACGTTTTAGGTACTTTCTTTCTTTGAAAATGAAGCATTTCGTAAATGTTGCAAGATAAATCATGGAGACATCATGGTTACAGCATATTTGTACCATCAGAGGTACATTACTTGGGGTTTGTAACGCGCATAGTACTGTATGGTGACATCATGCCAAGATCCCATTCAAGTCTCATCTCGTAGATAGCGAGACTGATGCTACGACCTTCTGACATGACATAGGCGGTTTGTAATAAAACAATAAAACATGTATTACCGTATTCATAGTGAAAGAATGTAATACATCGAAAATGTACAGAAAATATATCGTGAGCAGCTATTTTGATCCACCTGGACATCCCAGTACCCAAGTTACCTTGGGCATGCGCATTCACATTTTTCTGAGTTGGAATGCTTATGCAAGAGCGAGATTGAAACGGGATCTTGGTATCATGTCACCATAGTTGCAAACCCCAAGTAATGTACCTTTGGTACCATGTATAGTGTAGTATAGTATATTTTATTTGACACAAAATATTGCATAGAAAATACATCATCTATGGCCATATACATTACCTTATAAACAAACAAACAAATAAACAAACACTGTAAGAATATAAAATAAATGTTAGACAAATGTTAAATATTAAAGATTTAATTTTTGTTTTCTGTTAAAATATCATTGATGAACTTCCCCAGGCTGTTTGTAATGAAACCATCATTTGAATTTTTAGATTTGTTAAAACATGTTTTGTTCTGATAATGTTAGTAGACTACAATGACAAAGTATTAATAAATTGTGTATGACTAACGAATAACGATGCATTGCTTACAGCTGCTGCTGCTGCTGCTGATGCACCTAAGAAACCTAAGAAATTCATCATAGTTGCAAGATATGTTTTTGAATGGCTTTTGGGCGGGAAATTCAAATCTATTAATTTGATTTGAAATTATTTTCATATTATGTGTAATACCTTGGGTATTTTACACAAGCATGATTTTCCGTAATGACCGCCTTAATTAGGATATTATATATATATTCAGAACAAAATATTTGTGTAAACTTTACTGAAATGGCCTAAACTGATTCTTTACCCCTCAAAACATGTGAATAGGCACCGAAATCATGTTGATACAATGTGTAGTAAATGAGATATTGACGAATACAAAATTTTCTGTAATGGCTACCTTAATTTGCATATTATTCGAATTGCCCAAGGGTGACAGAGTGGCATCATCCACATTCTTAAAAAGCACGCTTCAGAGGTATAGAAACAGCAAAAAAACATTGTATGGACCGAATTGCACGCTTTTCGGTCTCTGCCACCAGACTATTAACACAAATTACAAATTCTTTCCACTGGAGGCATACCTTTGTATCTTAACCTTTTGAATGGCAGTCTATGAGCAGAGATTCTAAATTTGGTTATACTTGTTCTATGATTAATATTATTTACAAGTTCTAGATATGGCTCAAATTCATATTTTTGATTTAAATGTCTTGTAAATGCGTAATCTATTAGTTCCCAAATGGGGAGTACTAGATTTACTTTCTTTCTCATTTTCAAGTTATCTCTCACATTTTCTCAGGGACTGTGCAGCAGATGTCAATGAAACTTGGCAGGTTGATGAACAAGTCTGTGTTACATACATGTATGCACATAATTTTTTTCCAGATCTCAAAATCCTAAGTGGGTCTTTTTCAAAATTTCCTACTGCACTGACAGAGCAACTGAGCATGCTCAGAATAAATGATTAGCTTAGATTGTAAGCTATTGTTTTTAGTGATGTCATGACCTGGTCATAACCTTGATCTGAATCAGTGACAGATGGGTTGTAACATTACCAATCTCAGTGGAAAATGTTGAGGGGTGTCAAGGCAATATTTTGATGGGAATTATAGTGGTGATACTGAAACAAACCTGAAACAATTAAGACCTGAATTAACAAAGAAGTCAAGTTGTTATTAAAGGTACATCAAGCTTTACTCAGATTTATGAATGCAGTTTCTTGAGCATTTATGAGACATAGTTTGGTTGCATTTGTGAGATTTTGGACAGGAGTCAATGAAAGTTTTCAGTTATCAGATTAAGGGAAATCACTTTATGATGAGTTGTACCCACATAGAGTACATATTAATTCAATTGTTTGCAGATGTTCCATGTATTATTTTAACACAAGTATTTTGTATATATGTAACATTTATGTCTTGTTAGTTCCCGTTCAGGCGCAGCCTGAAAAGGGGACTTTATAATTCAGGTTTTGTCAAATGTCTGTTTTCCATATTCCATTTTCCGTCTCCAACATTTTCTCAGAAATTCTGCAGCAGATATCAGTGAAACTTGGCAGGTTGATGAACAAGTCTCTGCCGAGTAGGCACGTAATTTATTTTCCAAATCTGAAAATCCCAAGTGGGTCTTTTTCATGACTTTCATCAAAAATTACCGCTCCCGACAACATTGACAAAACGACTGCGCATGCTCAGAATAAATTAATTACTGTAAAATATATTTTCGCTTGCAACTTTTTTTCGCTATTTTCGCTGAAGGAATGTTTCAGTTAAAATAAAATCCAGCGAATATACAACGGGTATATTTTACATCCAACTTGTTAAAAATCAATGAAAATAAATTCAATACAAAACACCCAGAAAAAGTCTTTTCAGCGGATGATAATTCCAGCTGAAATAAAATATTTTACAGTAGATTAGATCTGTAAGTAATAACGCTGCTGTTATTACGGCACGTGATTTCTCCATTGCGTGCAGTACTGTTTATACGTGTATTTTGTTCGGCTCACTGGTCTCATTCACTAGTTACTAGAAGAACTAGTAACCTTATTTGATTTCAAGAACTTCAAGAAGGCGGCATAAGAGACGTGTTTGCAAAGGTAAGTTTGTAAATTGTATACCCTGTCAAATTATTGTACACGAACGATTAATTCATGGGGACATAGTTTTCAAGTAAATTGTATTCCGGTCTTTTGCTTGTGTTGCGATTTCCGAAATATCCACAACTCGAGGGAAAAGAATGTCCCTGTGTCGATCAATTTATTCATTATATAATAGCAGGTTGCCTATGATTATATTCGTATTTGTTATGTTGTGAGCATTAAACTGTTAGTTGTAATTAATGCTAAGAAACGACACTAGAGACCAAGTCTTGGCTGAGAGCAGAAGGGGTGTGAGCCACGGTCAAGCGTCGTCGCCGAAACCTGTTCCGTGATGTGAGTCGCAGATTTGATTCACATCACGGAGAGATTAGCATGGTACTTGATCGAGGCCAGTCAACGCAGGGGATCACCACCCGACCTGTCGTTGCAGATACCATTTCCGTGCACAGAGTCGCATGTTTGACTCTATTCACGAAGAAAGGCAGAGTATTAATTGAGTGGTGCCCGCATGCACTGCGATGACAACCCC